TAATTTTATATTCTCAGTTTAGGGGGGAAATTTCAAAGGGCCTATAAGTTTTATACTACTTTTGTATTCTTCTAAATATAAGTGTGGAAGTTTGAAGGTTTCCATTGCTCTAATATAGAAGTGTCAGGTATCCAAACTTAACAGAGCAAAGAAGTTTGCCTTGGTATCAAGTCAAAAATTGATGTAGTCTTCGAAGCAAACTGCTTCAATAACATAAAAATACCAAAGTGATTTAAATTTAGTGATTAAAAATAGAGTAAGCCCCACCTTGAAATCTGTTTCCAGATTCTCAGCTGAGAGCAAAATATTTTACCTTTTTTTTTTTTTTTAAATAAACAATGGCGAGGATTAAAAGATTATCCCAATTCCTAGACCGTCCCATTCAGATGTCTCCCATTCCTACAGCCTATTAGGTGATGTTACTACCTGTTTGCTTTGTGTCTCATAGAGCCAAATTTCCTTTCCAGAGTTATGCTCCTTGTTTTAGCAACCCTGAAAAGTGGTTGTGAGCAATACTGTCCTAAAACGCTTTGCATACTAAGTAAGCCTGATCTTTCAAGCACAGATGAAACTGAAATCTCCCCCTTATTCTCTCAAATTTTCTATAGAATGTCACTTTGGAAAAAAAAAAAGTGTGAGGGACAGAAATACAGAAAATCATTCCCTGCACCCCGCAGGCTAATGCAGTCAGCCGAACAAGAGAGATGGAGGTTTAAAGCCATGCCTCAAGGGTTAATTACACACATTAGGGAGTCATTAAATAAAAAACACAGGCAATCTTAGAAACAAGGGTTTGAACTCAAACCTCCCTCTCAGATGAATGCCCTCATCTTTGAGTTAGGCAGCTGTATTCCTTCCCTTGCTAATGAAATAAATTCTAGCCGCAGAGTTTCAACTAGAGGAGGAAAGTGAGGTACAGTGTCTTAGTCCTGGCCCAAACATCTAACAGATAGATGCTCAGGATGGTCTTCTGTGAGATGTCAGATGTGAGGCTGAGGAATTAAACTGAAGATCTAAGACAATCTCAGTCACTGCCTCAATCACAGAACTATTGTTTAAAAAGGGGTTGAGTAGCAGTTCCTCTGCCAGCTGTTTTTGAAAGGAAAAGGAGCAAGCCTTTTCCTGCTTTAGTAGCACTTAGAAAGGCATCTTCTGAAAAGACCCCTATCTGTAAGACTGCCATTCTCATATTTGCCCTCACAGGTGTCTTCTCAAGTACAGTGCTGGCCTTCCAGAAGGGCTCACCCTCACCATCTCCTGTTCAGAGGCCCTTCACTCGGCTTGCTGGCTGCTGTCAGCCTCATTCACAGACTCGGATCTCCTTACAGGAAGCCTAACTCCAAGCTTCTCTGACTCTGCCCTGTGAGCCAAGCATCTAAAAATGAGGCATTGCAACATCTAAGTCATTTTAGAGATTCAAGCCTTCAGGTCTCTCAGGAAGAACAAAAAGTTTCCACTTTACTGTATGAAGGAAAATGTTACAGATCTGTATATGTTTCTTTATTAATCCCATAAGAAAATCTACAATGCTACAGCTGGAAATTTAATCGGATTTTTCAAACACTGCTGGAAACACAAAGAGGACCTCTGGCTTTGTGCAATGAATGACCACTATTTTGCTTGGTGAGCAGCGGCAAATTATTTGCACGGTAATGAACATATAATTACAACGTACAAACAGTAACTGATTATTATTATTTCAGTCTCCTGCAGTGAAGAATAGATGGCAATTATTTTATGGACCTATCATACTAAATATAATTACTAGGAACCACAGCAACTGTATGCATATGCTGGAAAAGCAGAGAAGATGTTACTATGTTTATTACCTAACACTTCATTCCCAATTAAATGCTACAAGTAAAATACAGAAATAATTCAAAAGAACTTCCAAGGATCCACAGACTTACTTAAAACATGATTAAAAAGTTAAGAATTTTAGCATTTCTACAGCATTACTAATTGGCCATTCTGAGCTATGTTAATTCTAACTTTGACTGCATTATTTGCCAGGAAATCAACCCACTTTCCATAACTTACTGCCTGTGCATTTATGTGATATTAGTTTGTTAAAATTCGAATTTTGTTTTGATTTGAACACATAAGTCTTGCCCATGGTCTTGGGGCACAAGTCCAATTCCTGAGTGTCATTTTGGTGTCCACTGCTTTGAAGAATTTATCCTTTCAAAATGCACTGCTTATGAATTAGCTCATTGCGTGGACTACCTCATCTTCCAGAAAAAAAAAAAGGCTTTTTGAGGAAGACGCATGGTGGGAAGGTTGCAAGTTTGTCTTTATTTTTACTCTCATAGTAAAACTCAAATTGTGCTTGATGGCAAAAATATTATGAGCTTGAAAATGGCCCAGACTGCTTATTTCTTTGCACAAAACTTCACTGAATTTTCTCAGCAGAGGCAGGACCACCTAATTCCCAGGAGGAACACTAGGAAGACCATGCATAATATCTCAGATATCTCCTGAGGGAAGAGAACCACATTGGTAGAGATACTCCCTTTCCTTTGATTGTCTCTGAGGTCTGTGGATCTCTGTCTTCACTCTGGCTGCACAACCCCAACACCAGCCTTTCTGTACACTCCAGCCAACACCTTTCGTCTGTTTCGTAGAAAGAAGAGGTGTCTATGAGAACTTTTAAGAGGAATTTTCAGCAGCTATTTGGCTCATTGCAGGCAAGGAGAGGAACAGGCATGGATACATACATTCTCTGCAACTGTCACCAGCTTTTCCTCGCTAGGCTGGAAAAAGCATGAGCTGCCCCTTCTTTGCAAAGAAGCAAGCACTGAGGGATTCCTGGGGATTCTGTGTTAGTTTGCAGCAAATTCGCACGCAGCTGTTAAGGGCACCAAACTGAGAAAAAAACCCTCTTGCTGATCAGAAAGAGCACAAAATGGCACCTGTTGGATGTGCTCTCTGCATGTACCTTGCACTAATTTGCTTGCCCTTCGTACTTGAGTTAGCTATTGTCTCTCAAGTGCTAAATGAGCGAGAGGAATGACTCAAACGTCATGTTAATTAAAGTCTTATTATAGAATCATCATCATTTTTCTGGTAGAAAAGGAAGTAAAACAGACCAAGACATTATTTTCAGGTTTCAGCTTGAGTTGGTTTAAACTGACTGAAGATGATATGGGGTCTCTTCGATTTAGCGGGGATCTGAACCTTCATAAATGAGCAAACTGTGAACCCCTATATTTGCTGTTACTGTGAAACACAGGCTAATTTTATGTCTACCAATCTGCTGGAACATTTCTCTTCTATTATTAGCAGTCTCTGCAATGTTTTTTCAATATAAGTAGATAGGAAATCAGTCTGCTACTATTTTAGTTACATTCAATACATGCAACTACTCTGAGAAGGGCAATTGGTAATTTCTGGGGTGGAGAACAGAACTAATCCTATAATCTTAGCAAATAAATAAAAACACAGCTCTGTCTTCTTTGGAAGCTGTACCCTTATTTATCAGCTGACTGTCAATCCCAACTCTGTAATTACACTATTTGTTGTGGCTATTTTTCAAATCTGTGCAGTTCTTTTGGAGAAATGCAGTGCTTTAACTTAGCAGCTATTCTCTTCTTCTGCCCTGCTGTGAGGCCTTTATCATAATACTCATCATATGCTGGCAGCCACAATCTCATGCTCCCAAGAATGACTCCATAGAAAGGCTAAGATGAATCTTCAGATGGCTCCTTAAATTTATTCCTTCCCTCTCTTGCTATTGTTAGTAAAGCAATAAGCTTTGCTTTTTCCTGATACCACCTTCTTCAATCCTGTTGGGAGGGATGAAGACAAAGAATGAAGAAAGCTTTGCAGTGACAGCTTTTTAACATTGAATAATCTACCGCTGTGCATGTTAATAGATGGTGCTACGTTTGATTAACTAATTTTGCAACTGAATATCTAAGTAAATTACATTTGCTGATTGTTTCCAACAATTCTTTCTCTGTAATTTCCTCTTTGCATAGTTATATACTGATTGTTGTAGCTAACAATAACAATTCATAAAGAACCATGGGGCGTGTATTCCATAGTAAATATATCTGGTATCATAATACACAGAAAAGTCACTCCACTGCCTCCTTTCCTATTAAAAGTATATACTTTAAAGTATATACCTCATCATACTTTTTTATTTTTTAATGTCAAAGTCACAGAGCAGTAATTTCCAATGTTATTTTATGGCTAGTTTTGAAAGACAGACAGGCACTTACTAAGCCAAAATGCCTTTAAGGGATTTTTGAAGTGCGCAAAGTCAGGTAGATATATATTTTAATTGCAAATAAAAAACTAATTGGATGACATATCTAAAAAAAGTACTATATGCCTGATACTGCTTTTGCAGACCTAATAAAGGATTGGTCCTAAGAATTTAAGTCTTTTCCTGTTTTTTTTTAATGAAAACCAAATATTTTCTTTTAAGTTGAAATATCAGATTATGTATTGATGCAGACGTTTCTATGATATCTTCCACAATGATCAGAAACTACCTAATTCTTCTCAAGAGGTCATGGTCTTAACTTGTACTAGGTACTCACCATCTACAGAGCACTACATATTAAAGTAATCCCCAACTACATTATTTGGTCTCCTTTCTTCTCAATCCTTCTGTCTCTAACATTTTACTATTTTTACCATTTAGCACCTTCTGGTGTCTTGCCCAGACACAGGTTCTGTGTTTGTCTACCAGTGTTTTTCCTTTTTTCCTTTCTTCTTTTACATTTCTCTTTAAAAGGTAGATTCACTCCGTTTAGTATATGATTATCTTACTGCAATGCTGGCAGGGGCTACACTCATTTCCTCTCCACCAATTCATAGACACAGACTCAAGTAATTTACTCTGAAACTCCATAGCCATTTTTAAAGAGCAGCTGGTGACCTCCACCATTCGATAAAAGTGGGTACTAGAGAGGGGAGAAGGAAGAACACTCCTGGTGCATTACCTCTTGAGCTGAGAAAAGGGAAATGTAAATTAGTGTTTCACTTACCGGTTTCTATTGCTAGATATCCAGTCAGAGATTAATGTTGCAGCCTGCTGGTGACAGTGTTTGTTACCAAAGCTGCAAGCCAACATGATGACTTCACGACGCAATTCTCTGCCCAAATTAAAGACAGCAAAGAGGCTGCATTAATAAATACATTTGATTCTCTACAAAAGGCATTTTTTAGAAGATAATGGGCACACCTGATAGCTAGATAACATATATCACAGATAATCCAGTTATACAGATTTCAATGTCAACTAAGTGCCTTCAGCAGCTGCAAGATCTAAAAACAAGTCACGGGCCAAAATCAGCCCTCATTTACTCATGCTGACTTCCTGACTTCTGTTTCACATGCATCCAAGTTCTTAAATATTTAGTGCAGTCAAGTATTAAATTAAGGCTTAATGAATCATTTCTTGTTTGTAAACTCAGAGGATTTTTTTTTTTCACAGCTTCATCATATCCAGTAAGCAGAAACAAAAGGAAAACAGAGCTGTGACAATATCACAGGGAAATATAAGAATATAATAGTACTCATGTTGGTAGGGGGCGGAAGATCACACCAAATTTTAGGAGAGTGCTTTACTACAATGATATCATGCAAAAAAAAAAAAGAAAGAAAGAAAAAAAAAAGGAAATATAACAGTACTCATGTTGGTAGGATGCTTGAACAAGAGACTTGTTTAAATTATTCGTTGGCCATCCAAGCTTCAGATACATTGATGCAACTTGCCTTAAAATATACTCCTGAAGGGGGAAAAATATACTCAGTGTTATTAATAATTTTTGATTTTTCACTCAAAGTTGAAATACTATTGACTACTGAGTTTTTTCTTTTTTCCTTCCGCTGAAAAAATTGTCCCATTTTCCAAAGGTATTGATTCTCAGTTAATACAATAACATGCCCATACACAATCCTTCTTAATCTCTATAGTGAGAACCAATCTGTAGAACAGCTACTGGATTGGTCATATTGTGCTAGCCAAATTTTGTGTATGAAATACAGCAATTAAAAAAGAGATCCTTAAGTACTTTTTTGAACTCATTATACATGGTTGAAAACTTGCTAGAGGGTCAACAGGTTAAGGTCTACCCTATGACCAATCTCAAATACACTGTTCATGTTCGTTGTTAGAATAATATTGTTTTAATATCCATAGTAATGGCAAAAATGTCACAGAAGTGCAGACAATTGACTTCTGAATACTGAATAATGTGTGCTGTAAATGAGATTTGGATATGCAATGACAATATAGTTCACGTATTGGTTCTTTGTACACTTAAAAAACAAAACGAGCACAAAACGTGTTTTAGACTACTTTTACTTTTTACACAGTAGACATATTTAAATACTCTGCTGGTTGTGATGAAAATAGTGACAGTTGTTTTCCTCACAATCTTCTGATCGAAGAATTCACAAATTTGAAAAAGAGGACTGAAATATAAGTGATTGCACAGAAGAACACCTATTTTATTGTTATGGTGCATGGGCAAGTGTATGATGCCAGGACAAAAAGAGATTCACAGTGCATAGCATTCCCTAGCAGATATAGTATTCTGTGACTAAAAATACTTTTTATTTCCTCTACTATCACCTCCACATTCAAACCTCTCATCGGTTGTGATAAAACACAACCCAGCCATCAATCTTACTGTTTTTATTTATTAAAATATCATTTTCTTTACACAGTCATGTTTAAAATGGGAAAAAACAATGGCACTCATACAATTTTTTCATAAGAATTTTAATGACAGACTAAAAACACAATTTATTTCAACATCATTTTATATTATGGTTGACTGGTTTGCATGGACACCTAAATCGTAAATTCTTAAAGAAATAATCTCAGCATGTCTCTATTAATCCATAAAATATATGTGAAAAAAAATTCTATGCTAGTGGGTAGCTCTGGATGTGTATTTAGGCATACATAATTATACATATATACACATATGCACCCAGTCATGTCTAGATTCCTCCTTTGTGACAGGTGCATGTCTACATACACGTGCACACACAAACGTATTTTTAAGAACTTTAAGCATTGCAGTCTTTAGAAAATTTCTTCATTTAAATGGCTGTATAAAAGTATATTCAATATTTTGACCATTTGACGTGTGTAGACTATCTAAAACTATGAGTAAAAAGCCCCAGAGTTATAATTTTTATTGTTGGCAAGAAAATCCTGTGTCTTTCATCAGACGTGCTCCAACCTAGTGGGTTTCTTTGTTTGTTTTTAATTTCAGGTAAAATGTCAAAATGTTTGCCATGTCTATCTTAATTATCTCCTGCTAGTTGCTGCTGCTGTCCCTTCAGACCCAATTATGAATGGGCTTTTGATTCAACGGTGACCTAATCCTTGTTAATTACGGCAAGTATGTTGAATGCTTTTTTTTTTTTTGACAGAAATCCAGAATAATAACCAGAAATCTCTAATTCCAGCTATGCCCACATTTGATGTCCTTGTTGATATGGGGGTTCAGTTTAAATTGACTGACTGGGTTCTTCAAAAGAGAAAATTTGGTAATGGATTATTTTTGCTGTTTTAAGCTCAATATTTTATTTGTCATAATATTTTATAGGAGGAATAGTTACCTTTCCTTTTACTAATAATATATGCCCAAACAACAGTTATCACTATTCAAATGCAAATGAACCAAAGCTTGAAGAAAAGCTATGTTTAAATAAAGAATAATTAGAACGAGAGTTAATATCTTTAGGTCAGCAACAGTATCTAACGGAGATAGTTCATCTCTTGCTAATGAAAGAAAGCAAAAAAGAACACACAAGAGAAAGAAAGAAAAGGGAGGGAGAATATTTATCTCTTACATTGAAGATGTTGTAGTTTTCTGTGCGGTCCAGCAATTTGTCTAGAGGATAAAGAGCTCGGCTGGCAGCATGCCAAGGCAGAAAATCCTTCTCTTCAGAAAGGTATCTGATGATTTCCAAAGGAATATTCTGAGGCAAATAACCAGCTCTGCAACAAAGAATTTGTTAGTATTCATTTGAATTTGCAGAAGACATGATAAACTCATCACACTGTTAATGACATAAAAGTCAAAAAACTGTAGCGGTCTCCTGCAACAGGCACACACACGTAACTATACATATTAGAAAGAAACAAGCTGTGAACCTACATGAAAGAAAACTACACAAGGTAACCTATTTTTTATAGATTCTAGTGAATATATAAAAAAATCAGGCACAATGAATTAACTGACTTCATATAAAAGGCAAAAGTGAGGCACAGAACATTTCTAATGGTAATTGTGAAGAAGCAGCTTTTAGTTTCACTGTTCTCCTCACCTCCCTCCTCTCCTTCAGAGCTGCCTTGTTTTGTATCCTTTATAAGCCATTTTGGAATGAGTTATTTTATTAAACTGAAATAGAATACAATAGCAACGCTTAGGTCAAGGAAGCTTCAGCACTTTCCATATAAGCTCTATTTTTTCAAGGGTTTAAAAAAATCAATTACTTAAAATTTTGCCCCATTCTTTCCCTGGCATAAAAGACATCTTTCAAGAGAAAGAGTTTAGCAAGGTTTCAAGAAGGCTGTTTAAATGAACAGCTTTACAAGTAAAGTACAATACAGCTTCAAGCATTTGAAAGCTGCTTTTTAAAATTCAGTTCTGGAAACATAAAGCTTTAGGATTTGTAGTCATTTTCTTTTTCAGAAAAGCATTATTTCTTAACTATCCAGACCCCAGAAACAAAGCGTAACCCTGTGGGTGCAAACTTCCTAGCAAAAAAAGCATTTCTCCTGATGCATGAGTTTAACTCTCATGGGAGATGTGTACCTGCTTAAAGTGGAGATAACGATTTTGTTTTCATTAAACACTTTAAGTCAGAAAGTGGGATTCCACAAGCATCAATTTAACAGAGCCTACAGTCTGATATATCCTCATAGACTGCTTTTTCTCCTCATTGAATGAAAATGTTTCCTTTAATTTCCATCACTGTCCAGGGAAAAAAATGCATATATACAATAAGCAAAGAAAATAGATTATTATGGAAATGAACCAGTACATATCCTTGGAGATAAATTCTGATCTAAATTGTAACAGCATAAATGAAAAGCTACTAAAATCTTTGCAGTAGACTGTTCTTCTTGGTAGAGTCCGAAACCAGTCTCCTTTTCAGCAGCATCACATCCATACAAGCCACTGAACTTCACATTCCCTCCTAGAAGAATTCCACCCTATTCCCTTACGGTTCCCAAGAAAGAAATGAGTTCATGTATCCATCTTCAGAAGGCTCTAGCCACCTATGTCCTTAGAGTAACCCCCTCTCCAGACTGCTTCAGGCCTCCTTCCTCTCTGCTCCTTTTGCAGCACATGCTCAAGCAAGAAAAACAAGAACACTTGGGAACTGAACAGTTCACTGAGTCACTCAAGAACTGAACAGATGTGAAATTCAAATGAGGCTCCTAGAGTAGGGCAGAGGAGAAAATGCAGTGCATCTGAAGACAGACAAAATAAGGTAACTAGAAAATACTTCATTTTTGTAGGTCTTTCTTATTACAGAAGGAGCAAAATATCACTAAAGTATGTTCTAGGTTGCAATACTTTTTAAAGATGCAGAACCAGAAGAATATTCTGAATACTGTGGAGTTAAATATCTTGTAGATAACGTTAGCAGAGTTAAACTTGTTTGAAGGTGCATAAGCATATTTGGTTCCTAGTGGGTTTGTGATTATTGTTACTGATAATTTGATTGACATAAGAAAGTGTGCACAAGGAACAAGAGTAATGGCTGTGGGAAGCATGCCACTTAACGAAGAAACAGATGAATGGTTATTATAGCTGCACTAATGGACATTTAAGATCATGCTCCTGAAATTAAGTCTCTCTATGCTAAGTACAAAAGAAATCATCACTGCAAAACAAACATATTATTTCTTTTTAAGATTAACTTCTCTAGAAAGAAACATAAAAAGTTAATTCAAAGAGATGTTACTTATTCATGAACTTTCTGCCTTCCTAATCTGTTTCAAAATTGTGATTCTCTGTTGATGGTCCTCATCCTCTTCACAATGGAAACTGTTACTTGCATCCCTTACTGCTGATAACTTGTAAATTTAACCCTCTAATTCTTCTTACTTCTTCCCTTACCCCCATTTTTCCTTGTGCTTCCTCACAGCTATATTCCTTCTCAAGTAAAAATAATACAGCAAATTTTTTCCTGTTTCCTCCTGAACTTCCTCCACTTTATGGGTCTTATCCTTGAAGAGCTTAGGCATGGTATCATTAAAATCAGCTTTCCAGATACACAGAATCAATCTCAAGAGCAGAGTTTGGGTGAGGGCAAGACCTTATGGATCACATTATCACATAAGTACCATCACACTCAACACCTCAGGTTTTGAAGGAAAGTTGCTATTGCTGCTAAGATCACTGTCAGATTCTGTGTCAGCATATGCTGGGCAAGTGTGCTTTAAGTACAACTACAGGGCTTGGTTTCTGAGATAAAATGAGAAGAGACATATCTCAAATCTGCTTATGATGGCACATAACATAGGAGTATTTCCCTGCAGAAAACAGATTTTTTTCTGTAGCTTTCAGTTAACATTATTCTTTATGTTCTATAAAATTTTATTGTATGAATGCCTACAGAAGGCTATTATAGTCCTATTCTGTCACCCTCAGTCACTAATCTGTGTTTATGGACCTTTTTTTTTCCAAAACCACTACCATCTGCCAAACTATTTGCCATTAAATAGCTTTGATCGAGAGCTAAGGATAAACACATTCATTGTTTTACTTTTTTGTGTAAAATGTGATATATAAAGTAAGTTATAAAATATTAAATGTATATATATATGAAAGTTCAAAAAGTCTGAGGAAGATTTACATTCATAAAAGAAGGAAAGAGTTGTTAATGGTCAGGCCGAACACTAAGGCTACTAATTTATGGTATTCATAGCTAAGAAAACATGATACAAGGAGAAGATATCAGTCCACACCATGAAAACATAAACCATAACATCCACATACGGATAAGAAGTTCTAAGGTTAGGGCATATCTAAAACCGGGATCACAGATGCAGGAGCTCTGTCACTTGTCCTGGGAGTTACCATGGCTGCTAGATAGCAGAACACAGAAACATTTGATATCAGTGGCTATGTGCTGTGTTACGTTCCAGGACTCTGCATCTTCACCAAGCACAGTACCTGGTTTGTTAAGCTTTGTATATAATGGATTTTTTTTCAATTTATTGCTACAAATGATTTCCAAAATCCCCTTCCCCAGAAAATACTGAATCCAGCAAGATATACTGGCTCACTTGAACAGTGAAAAAGTCACCCACCAGCCCAGGGCTTCTGAAGAGCTAGTAAGGTTCTCTTTCTCAAACCTGCAAGAACTAGGACCTGGCCCACAAAAGCGAAATTTTGCATGCAACAAAGTAGGTCAAAGGCTCAGTAGTTCCACGGGACCTGTGGCAAGCATATACCACCAAGCTCCCTGAGAACTTTCAGTCAAAACCACTCAGTCCATTTATGGAGCAGGAAAATAGCCAAGGTGAGGAAAGAAAGCAGAACAAGGAATTTGGAATGGGTCTGTTCTTAATATCTTTGTAAATTCCGATGGCACAACAAAGAGCAGTAGAAGTGTTAAACAGAAATATTTAACAATTATAATTACAATAATAATAAAAAGAGCAGTAACAACTTTCCTATCAATGGAAAAAATGCAAAATTCCCCTGTAATATAATTTTCTGGTAAGAATATTCAAAGCTATTATAGGTACTACAGTATGTAATGTATGTTCTGTACATACTGTACATTTGTCACTGATTTATCACTGTCTCTTCCAACAATGTCACTGGAAGGTCAGTGACAGAAATCCTTATTTCTCATCTGTCTTTTTAGCCATCAATCATATTGCTATCCTTAAAGTCCAGCAAAGGTACCATCAGATCATTCCTGTCAAAGTCCAATTGGACTTTTCCCGTTTAGCCATCTAAGAGGAAAATTGAAATAATGATGTCTGTCACTCAGGGAATAACCAATTCTGAGCTACACTAAAACCAGCTAACAAACATAAACATACCAGAAACACTGCAATGTCCTCTCTGAGGACTGGTCCCACTGCTTCTGAAGAAATGTCTCTAGCAGCCACTTGAGGATATCAACAATTACGTATCCACAATCAAAAGGATTATGCAGAGGAATTTGGGGTAATTATGGCAAGTATATAGCATACAAATCAATCTAACCATCTACTGCTGATTCACAAACAGTGGTTAAAAGCAAACTAATATTTAGGTTAAAAATTCTCAAATACAGGTTAACCAGTTCACAAATCTTCATGTGTAGAGTCTAGAATGAAAAGGCTGGAAGAGACTTTAAGAACTTACCTAGTCCCTATCCTAAACTATCCTATCTGAGACAGATTCATACCAATGTCATTTTGATAGAAATTTGTCTAATTTCTTATAGGCCTCGAGTAATAGAGATCCTAAAATTTCCATGCTCCCCTCTTCAGAGGCTTGATAATAAGAACATTCTAACTTTTGTGTTTCACTCAGTAGTTACAGAAGATCACTGTCAGATCCCTGGGCATGTCCTAAAATGAAAGATTATTTATATAACTTTGGTATAAGTGAAAAAAAAAGCAGAACTGCCTCCTTATTGTATTCTGGATTAGAGGTTTTTGGCCTTACAGATCACATAGAAAGGAGTTCAAATTTAGTAAAGAGCTTCTATAAATCCTAACGCAGCCATACCCATACTTAGTCATTAGAAAAACAGGACTGTAAAAAACAAAAATTATTCAAGAAAGTCATATTTGAGTCCTTTGGTTGTTTTATCAGTTTTATATAATTCTTATCTATTGGTTTATCAGCACATCAACCATTCTGTCAACCATTCTTGCTTTGTGCAAGGAGAACTTCAGCATGTGACAGAAACACAGCACAAAATGAAGTTCCTATCACCTGTATTGCTGACCCTCACAATTACCTACAGAGCTGGAGA